TCAAAAAAGTTGACTTATCATCAAATCACGGTAACCTCTACTAATTACTCAATTCTTCTTAAAGACATGGCTTGGTCGTCAAAGCACCGCCACGTGCCCTAGTATTTTGGTGATTTCAGATTCTTGACAGTTTGATGGTATGAACTACATGAATGAATGGCTCTCTCAAAATTTCAAATTGTTGAATCTATTCAAATCAAAAAAATAAAATTATGAAATTTAAATTTGAAAAAAATTTGATGAATACATTTAAGTATTTTGCTATCTTCAAGTATCCAATATAGATATAAAATTCAAGTAACATCATATTGAAAGTTATTCACATACCCGAAAGTTTGAAAAAAAGTTTGAAAATATTTGAAAATATTATAATCAGCATTATTTTCTTATGGTCAAGATTAATGGATTCATGATATATCTAGTCAAAATATTCTGAAAATTTGTGAAATAAATTTTGAAATATTTCAAAATTACATAAATATTTAAAATTATGTTTGATGCAAAATCATGCAATATTAAATCATCAATTATTTATGTAAATGTTGCATAAGGAAAAGTTATGCAACTTAAAAAATCTATGACTATATATTTTATTATAGAAAAGTTGAATGTATCAATTGACAATAAAATTGCATAAATAAGTGATTGGATAAATTATGAAAACTAAGATTGTAAAGTCAACATAATCAGCAGAGTAAGAAATTTGATTGGATAATCTTGTCATAAAAATGAGATAAACACATGATACCATGAATTTTTATTGTGGAAATGGATATGTTTTACATCTAATTGTGAATGTTCTGATGGATAACAAAAGTAAATCACATCGACATAAAATATAATTTTTCAAAACAAGTTGTTGTGTCAGCTATCTAATATTGACATTACATTCAATCTTGTTCATGGATTTATCAAAACAAGTAATAATAATTACTTTTGAATAAATTTTGTTACATTACAATTTTTCAAAACTTGCATATTAGAATAGAGTAAATTTGCAATGAGATGATACTTATATATGAAATTACGCCATCATGATTTGGCTACTAATTAACTCTTGCATATAGATTCACTTATGTCGAGATTTTTTTGAATAAAAATTGCATAGTAATGATATAGTATATAGAATTTATTATCCCCAAAACATGAGTCAAAGGAAAAATTGTTTAAAATTAATGAAAGTACTGATAAATTTTAGCTAACTCAACATGTTAATTAAAGGAGTTACAATGTAACTATGTACCAGCTTGTCGTAGTTCTTAATGACACAATTTAGAGTTTTAATGCATGAATCTTTATGTTCCATGAATGTAGCCTGGTTGGGCAAATCACGTGTCTCATGTATCAATTTCTTGAAAATGCATGTGAATGTAAATTTTCACGGCTAACTTTGACTGATGGTTCAAATATACCCTTATTAGGTAAACTCGCTACAAGTATAGATATACTCAATCTTATGTAACTTAAAAAAACATTATAATGACAATGGTCTATGTTTGCCACATCACATGTACGTATGTGGTGATCATGCTTATTCTTGTTTCTTCCCTCTTTTGAGGTTTAGAAGGTATGAAGGGTACGAAATCTAGCTTGCAAGGAGAGAGAGAGTCAGATGCCTCAAGGGAGCAAGTAGATAGCCGACCATGTGAGAGACCAACACATCTAGGAGCATGTGCCTATGTGAGACCTCTTGCACGGCAAAGCAGTGTAGTGTTGTCCAACACGATCTCCCATTTGACAGCTTGATGGATGGGGTGTAATTCTAAATCAGGTCCTTGCATTTCGTTCCAAAACTCTTAAAGCAGATACTCGTTCCAGGCAATTATATTGGGAAGGATTCTGATGTTTCTGTCACAGATCTCAACTCTATGCTTAGCATGATGTTCTTCTGCTTTGCTTCGCTTTGCTTTCCTGTATATACGCATTGCAAATTGCTTCAATCATCACCCGTCCTGTCTTTCTGCAAGTCAATTTGGTTTTATTCAGTAACTCGATGTGAAAATGTGCAAGGCACATGCTGAACTTTTTTCTTCTCCCTCCTACTGATGGATTTAAGCTCAGGTCGTTTGAACGAAACGGAATTGTCTTTCCAGCATCAATTGACAACGACTTTTAATAATCATTTCTCACGTTTCCCATTTCCTCCATGAGTTTGTCCGACCCTGAGAAATAGCAGAGCACTCCACGAAGTCAAGTGTGGATAAAAAATAGGATTTCTTTGTCATCGGATATCGTTTTCATCTGTGTTAGATTTGTGAGGTCGAAGATTCGAAGCGGACACTTCAAACTTCAAAGTGCCACATCACGTGAATCTTCCGCTGTGAGTTGGACATTGCAATTTTGGTTTTCAACTGCGCTTTATGAGCATCAGAAGATTCATGTTTCTACAAACAAGATCTCTCACCTCACGCTAGAATCATGATGGCACCGTCTGGAGCAAGTCAGCGGATTATAAGCAATCGTACCGACTTATCATATCATATACTTGCAAGATGCACATGGCAGTTTGAACTTCGGAGGAAACCACGGACAGACGGCAAAATTGTGCCCTGCAACTTGTCTGTGACATAATTACACTAAGTGCATCACAAAGATACCTGGAAGAGCAGACCTGGAAGCAGTTTCTCGAGAACTGCCGTCTCAGCCAAGCTGAGCTAGCGGAAACGCTGCTACTTAGAACTGTGCTCTTCCACCCGCCCCGCTTCATAACCAAACGTTGTTTTGTCCTCATCGTGACTCCCCAGAGTGCTCCACCTGTAGCTATGGAAAAGGTTCAATCGGAAGTTCTGTTCAGCCTCTACAGTCTGGAACTATGGATCTCTGCTTGATCTTCGTTTGATACATGCTGGTTGTCTGTGTCATGTTTCTAAGCAAGAACGCACAGATGATGACACAAGACAACCTGCACAAAAATGCACAACAGTGCAAGAATTGGATTTGCTTTCAGTTGGGAGGGGCAGGTCGTCCACAGTACCAAATGTAGTCCTATCCGGAACACTCTTTTGTGTTCGGGTTGGTGAGGTGGTTCTTCTTGGAGTACGACATGGTACTCATGTGACATCAACCGGTGAGCCCAGTCCAATCCAAGCAATGATCATGTGAAAGAGCATCAGTCAGTCCGTGTGGGAAACTTATCACACGTTCCTCGGATGTGGTTTTGGATTTGTGAACTAAGAGGTACAGATGGTACTCCTCTGAAAACTCAACACCATAGTGCAAGAGATTCATTTGTTTTGCAAAACAGGAAAGAAATTCTTGTGCGATCTCTCGTTGTCCATTTACCTGGAGAGAAGAGTAGTTGACGGCAAAGCAGCTGCAAGTGGACTTCACATACAGTAAGTCGTTTTGAGCTGGCGTGGCATGACGCATCAGATACAGTGATACACTATTGTCCACATCAATAACGAGCATAGACGCTTTATGATGATTATCTACATATCCAGAAATGAAAAGCTTCCAAGCCTTTAGGTGAAGATCCCAAAGAGTGTAGACGGTATGAAACCTGATTGGCAGGGATTCCCAGAAAGGTGTGATTTGTTACGTGACGCATCACGTCCTTCTGAGCATTGGAAGATTCGGCCTCAGGATCTTCCTTCATGGATTTTCTTCAGCTCAAGCAAACCTTCAAGGGATTCCAAGGCAGTGCTACGGCACTGTTGAAACACTCCGAATGAGACATTCTCATGATCAATCCATCCTTCCAGCTCGAGAAGATACTGTTTGACTGTAGCAACCACTCAGAACATGTCCTTGCAACTCCGTATCAATGAATGGCTTTGAACTACATCGCACTCTAATGAAGCTCAGTGAGACTCTCTCTGCTACATGCTATGCAGCCAGGTTAAAATAGGAACCCTCTTCCACTCACCTAATTTGCAGAATTCAGCTCAACTCTAGGACACGTACTTCTTTCTCGTGTGTTGTAATGTAGCCAGAGGTGTAATTTATGGCTGAGACTATTCACCTTCCATCTGAAAGTGGTGCATTACTCCGATCGTGCTGAAATTCTTAGGCGGCCTTTGCAGTCGAATATTGCAACATCATTGTTGAGAACGTGAGAAGATCTGTTTGGTTGTTTGCACGTATCTCGTGTCAGAGGGTCATGGAAGGGTTTGGTGCACCTCCTTTTCTGTCGGGGAAACAACGCAGGGCTTGCAATACAGAGAATTTTTCTTCCGTATTCGAAACTGCTTGAGAACTCCTCTTGAGAGGTTGACTCATATTCACCCCCATAGATGGAGAAATATCGCCCTATTGAAAACTGTTATGTTTTCTTGCTGCTAATTCACTGACTAATCCACTCTGATGTAGAATTTTTGATATACTAACTCTCTACAGCGCAAGAACGATTTGTCAAAAGAAGGGTACCCATACACTAACGAGCCACAAAAAGTATTACTTAGACGGGTTCCTTAAACAACAATCTATCAATTTGCACAACTGACTATGAATGCGTTCATGAAGCTTATTTCATGACACTGGCCGCATGAAGTGAACGAGTAACTCGTTATTCTAGCAGAAGACGAGTAAAAATACAGTATATTGAATACTACGAAAAAGGACAAGATACGTCAAAAGTGCGATAGATTGAATGTGAAGGCATCTTCCTTACAGTGTAGAAATAAAAACTAGTATTACATTACATATATAAGAATCAAAGATTGTTAAGCTTTGAGGATTTTCTTGCGGTCGACCTGGGGTGTACTTACCAATGAGTTTGACTTTCCTTCACTTTCATCATGTATTTGTCAACTAAAGTGTTGGACCATACCCTATTCTTTGCTCCTAATCGTACAGTTCTCCCTGCCATGCCTAGATATTTGATGCATACGATGACGAATTGTCACTAAAAGACTTGCCCTTCCATCTCTGCATGCACCTACTCCTCCTTTACATCCGTCGAAACCATCAGCATTTCATCATATCATCAACACATCGCAATACTGCGCCACTATGCATTGGGCATGCATAAGACATGAAGTTTCAGTCCTTCAACCCGTGAAAGTGTTTGAGAAAGAGCAGCATGCCATCTCCATTCCTTGAAAATATGTTTGTACGTTTCAGACAAGCCAAGACTATAGTACTGGGCAGATATGCTCAACAAACTACACTAACCCTGAAAATATCAGCTCCGGATCAGACCCGTTCTGAACAAAACATTTCGGAGCTCGTTCAGCGCGATTGGTGGTACGCAATTGACTTCAGACATCTCGACAAGGATGATACGATACAAAGAAATCTAGTCCGAATAATTATCTTCAGATAGACCTACCGTCAAAAGCACCGAAGCCTATTCGCTCGAGCCAGTTATTCTACGTGGGCAGACGTACTCACTACCCCATTGACTGCCAGTGTCGTATTGAAAGCTCTCCGCTGACTAGACTAGTCCAGCTCCCGGAGATAGGCACGGCACGTCAGTTCCTATTTGTGCGGACAACTTGACATGTAGTGGTAGCACAAGATACTTAAATATAAGATATATAGAAGTCAGGCGAAGGGACTAGGTCAGGCGGAATGACCCTCTTAGCAATAGCATCCATGTTGCGCGAGACCGTATGTAAAGTTGAGCTCCGCGTGGACTCGCCCATCACGACAACCTATGTAGACATCAGCAAGGAGTTCGACACCGCTTTAACCTAAACCACCAGCAGTCCGATTGTGAAGGTATGCTCTGGCACATTCGCTGAATACCGCGTTTGTCGGAAGTGGACTAGTAGAGCTTAATTCCGTTCGGCTATTTGTGGCAGGCACCGTGTGATTATTGACTTTCTCCATCCTAATAAAACGGGCCAGGCAATGCATGAGTTGCTTACACAACAGGAGACAACGTGGAAGCCAATGTTGACAGTAATGAGCGCCATTCACCAAAAAGCGGCCAGAGAAACTATTGACGAAACGTGCAAATTAACGGATTCTTTCCTCAAGTTCTAATTAGAGAAGGAAAAAAACCCCATTTCAAAAGCGCTACTCCTGTTATCCAGAATGCAACAACGATGTATTCCAAGCAAAACGACACGAACATCCTGAATGTTGTAAACAGGTGTTCTCACAAGTAAACTCGAAGATGGGTTCTCGATTCACTACTTGGTGAGAGATGCAGGAGTCACTTGAATATACTGAAATCTTTAAAATCCTCTACATTTTTTCGCCATTGGACATAGGATTCAAAACAAAATCAGAGTCCTAAGTTGCATGCAGTCCGGCTCAGCGGCATGCAGATCTACTCTTCTCCAACTCGCTCTTAAAAAACAGCAATCGTTACACCTATATCCGAAAGACATCGACACAAAGATGCAGGGGAGTAGGCAGTACTTCTTTCTTCATTACTCTAAAACCCCAGAGATTGTGGCACCTTCTCAACCAGTCACACAAAACTCCATAAGCACTCCAGATTCGACAGACCAGGTATACACGGTTGATTGCGGTTGAAATGTACACATCAAATTGCGATCTGGGTCATATATGAGCCAGATGATACTCACGAACTAGAAGAGTTAAGAACATTATGACAAGAAAGCCCCAGACGTGTACGTCAGCAATTGACATTCAAATCAGCAATGACCCGAAAAATCTTTGAAGGAAAGACCTCGAGACACGATGTACCTGATCTTTATAGAGGATCAGACGACGACTGTAGTCAAGACAAGACAGATGAGACATGAATAAAATAGGTACTACATACACTCGATTCTCAATCAAAAAATTGTCCATTTCTTAATCGAAATGGACAATTCAACAGAACAGATGAAGAAGGCCAAAGTCAGTAGCTACAGAGGTAGAATTCGACCCATCGTTCAAAACCAATTCTACAAATACATAAATACAATCCTGAAGCATTACTTGCGTGAAAGGAAAGAAATAGTTGCCGTTGAGCTCAGATTGTCTATGAACCATCCCAGGTCAGCAGGATAACAATCAGAGTATATCCAATATCCAAACCACAGAATTAGACAACGGAGAACAGTCAGCTAAGCATAGCAGTAATGACAGTTACAATTCCTTGGAGAATACTAAAAAGCCTGAATGCACGAAATGACCTAGACCGGATGTAACTGACGACGCACACAATGATGACAAAATATATCCAATCAGTACACATCCAAAGTTGAAAGTGAACAATGGATCCTGCGGGTCCGCAGGATCCATTGTTCTATCCAAAATATCCAAGATCATATTAGTTTGAAAGCCCACACTTTCGAAACAAGATAAACACAAGGAAAAATTTACCATTTATGAAAGGAAGTGGAAGCAAGTGATATTAACCCACAACGAGACAGTAGATAACACTCGGAACTATACGTCTTCTATTTCATTGATAAATGACCAAGGAATGAAAAAAATGTGACTGACAGGCGTGCTTTACGGAGTAACTTAGAGCGAAGCGTGTTTCCACTACATACAGAAAGCGTACAACTACATTCTTCGACTCTTCAAACACAAGGACTCCTCTCCCGCTCCCGAAAAAGCAGGAAATTGCACCACTTTATTGTCCAGTTCCTAACATGTGCTCCACATATCAACTTTGAGCACACACATTCCAGATCCTTAAGCATGAAAATCAGCGACCTTTCGTAATACAACTCCATTCATCGAAAGGAGCTTGCTTATGTAAACAAAGGTTGTACAGATTACAAGATCGATGACCTTGAGTGAACGCGCAATCGGCTGTACACATGACAATGATAAGGAGAGAAAGAAGTTGAAGCAGTGTCGCTGTGAGAAACATCAATCAGGCAGGGTTGTGGCATTAACTTGCTAATACATGCTCACAATGATACACAGTTGATGCACCAATAATAACATACTTGCATATTTGAGCTTCTAGACAAAAAGCCCACCAGCAATGGGGATATCCAACTTTGTCCAAACACTGATGATAATTGCTCCACTTCCTTACAGAACCGGTAGTAAAGCCAACAGCAGAAACGGATCTCTATCAGTTTCAGCACCCTGTAATATACCTCCTCAAATGGCAGTCACTACCGAATCAACTAATCTACAAGAACGATAGCTTACTGGGAAGCAACCTGGGCACACGAGAAGCCCAACAGCAGCCTGGCAGAAGCTGTTCCCCAAATAGACTGATTCCTATTGGATGAACAAAACTTCATAAAACGCCAATAACAGGGCTATTGACAACAGAGGCAGATGGGATACTCAGGGAGGAACAAGACTGTCTTTACACCAAACAATGAAAGCAGACAAGCTGCTCAAACAAAGCAACTAAAGATCTTACACTACAGGTCCCCCTCTCTGCCACGTCCCCTCCCTCCCTTCTTTCCCTAATCTCTGCGCTTCAAATCTAAAAATCCCAAGAGAGAGGAAAGATGACTGGGATAGAGATCACATATTGATGGGCTCTTACTTTAGCCCACTCCCACCCTCTCAGCCTCGCAAATAAGATGTATAAGATTGCATTTGCTGTCCACCATTAGACCTGCGTCTTCCAGGCACCCTAACTAGGCGCAATGCACACCTTCGGCCCACCTTCACTGGGCCAAACAGAAATCCCATATACTAACAAATATGCAGGGTGAAGGCTTAGATTCAAGGAGATTTGGTTTCCTTCAACCTCAACCACATCCCCATCCTTGGACAACCACAACTCATGAACCTAAGACTAGCTCCCTACCATTGCCCTGTTGCCATATGCAAGATTGTTGTTTAGGCCTTGTGAACCCAACATTGCCTCCGAACTTAAAGGTCTAGAAGTAGCAGCTGCCTCCAAACGGGTCCAAGTACTCTCCCGCTTCTCTTCTAAATCCTTTGCTTTGGCTTCATCCTCTTGAAACTTTCGCTGGCATTCCTGGAAAAGATCCTGGTCCATCTCCAAAAACATCTTCCTCACGTTCAAAGTAAGCCCGTGTACTGCTTGATTCCAATGACTCCTGGTGTTTCTTTCTAGTGCAGAAAAAATGAGGGGTAGCACTACCTGCCTGTTTTGTGCAACCAGGCTCACAATGTGATCATTATTCCACAAAAACAGAGCCCGTTCTGCCACCTGAGAATATACCACGAAACCTGGGTTCAAAATGATGCAACATGCAGATTTACAGAAAATGTACAACTCAAAGTTTAACAGTGCAATGTGAGCACGCAGAGCCGTCCAGAAAACTGAAATGGACCTGTCACAGCTTGTCAGCATTCTTGACCACGTAGCGTGTGCAATGGTGCAATTTAGGAATTCCGGTTAAGACTTTTGAGGTTGCAGTTGCTCCTCCAGTGGCGGAAGGAGAATGCTGAATTTAGGGCTATGAAGGTGATATGTCCTCGAGGCATGACGGATAGTCGAAGATCCAAACGATAACTCCCCGTAAATGAGCTGGGAACATACTGGCGATTGGAAAAGTGGAGTCCAACGGAAGACTGAGGTGTTACGAAGTGAGAGGAGTCGGGTTACATGTCTACGGATTAAATCAACCACATGAAAGAGTTGATTATACTTCTCCAGCAGCGAAAATCACCAAGTTCAATCTGGACTGCGATGACTTGGTCCGAGGTCTGACCTCAGATTCACAACACAAAACGCTTTTCAGCAACCCTAAAAGAAAGTTTCGATCTTACAGGTGATCTTAGTTCGTTGGCCGCGGACGTTCACATAAACTAGCCCACTAGTTTCGCTATGTTTGGCCCAAGGGGGCTAGGAGCTTGATACTGCCACCTGGCAGATTAATTGGTGTAATTGAAACCGGGTGCAACAGTGGGACATGGGCCTTGGGAGTAGATGTGCAGCTCCCACACACACGATCCACCGATTACACAGGAAAGCGTGCAGCGTGTCCACCAACAAGTGGGTCTGCAGAACTGGCATACCTGAAAATGTGCGCTGTTAAGACATCGGCCAATTTGTCGAAATAAGGGAACCATGCAGCGTTGAAACTCGGCTGCCTGAGTGGCCTCCAGAACCTCCTCCAGCTCTCCCAAGAACAAAACTTCTTTCTGGCTGTTGGTGACTGGCCAGTACTTCAGCAGGCCTCTGATGACAGTGTCTGCCAGTTTGAAGTCTTTCTCCACAAATTGAGTTATACAGTAAGAGAGCTGCTGATGATACATCGACACGCACTTCGGCTTGTGCAAGGGAATCAAGGCCCGCACTAGAAACAGCTTGTGCTCCTCTTTGAGAGGAAGAGCAAATCCATTAATAATACTTCCTAGGATTTCGAGTAGCTCGGCTATCCCATTGTGCTTTTCTGTTTCAAATATGAAACGATAAAAGATATTATTGATGGCCTTGCGTATAAATGGACGATGTACCATAAACTTACCATAAATGCGGTGCAATATTGTTTTCAAGTATTCTCTCTCCCTCGGATCCTCTGAGTCAAATAGGTCTAGCAGTCTGAGGACAAAAGAGTGATCAATGTATCTCTTTGCCAGCTTTGCATCAGTCTCAGACGACACAATGTAGCGCAAAAGAAACTCGTACACGATTTGAAGATGGGGCCACGCCGGTTCCATGGTAGGCTCTTCCTCTTCGGGGTCGAAGTTTTCGGTTCCTGTGTTCTCGTGAGAAGAAGGGGGCAAAGTACGAAATAGGTTCGTTACCAGCATTTTAGTGATATCCTCAAACACAGCTTCAGTGAACTTTCCTGTCCCCGAAGTCACATACTCCACCAGCTCCAGAAGAGTTTGACGCTTAGTCTCTTTCTCCTTGACATTCTTGGTCGGGTCAGTGAAGTCGAACGTATAGCAGCAAAGATTGAGCTTTTTGATGAACAGATTCTGTCTGTCGGCACTGGGTAGATCTCTAAAAGCAGGCAAAGGCTCAAAAAAGGGACCGGGACCATTGTTGAGAGTTAAGGTGGGCGACATCTTATCCTTGCCCTGTCCGACTCGGCCTGCAGGGGCCGGCGTGGCGACGTTGCTGGTCCGGCTAGGTGCTGGAGGCGCTCTCGCTCCGGTGGCTGGAGCCGTTACCCCGCGTGGATTAGGGCCAGTAGCAGGAGTGGCAGCCGCAGCTGGTGCCGGGGTGGGCGCAGCGGCTCCTCCCCCTCCAGAAGTCGGGGCTCCTGCGGATCCTGGCTCATGAGGTTCAGGCTTGGCAGCCTGTTTGGTGCGAATAGACAGGCGCTTCGACAATTTGTTAATCATACCTCGGCGCCTACCCTTGCCACACCGCCTCTCTCTTCTCGGTATCCTAAGTGTGGCCAGCACACGCCTGTACCTGTTTTTCTACCAGCACTCTCCCTTTCTCTTCGGCCGCACCAGCAGCCGCCAATGCATTTGCAATAGGGCAGAAATTAGCATCAAAGTCGAGCAAGGTACCCTACCGCTCGCTGATTCTGTCCATACACGCGCCGGAAACCTCAGTAGCGAGCCATATTGACGACGAAGCAGAATCACCGCCCTAGTCCTGGTCCCGGTCCAGACTTCTCGCGTTGGCAGCGCAAGGAAGTAGCCTAGGTCCGACAGAACCACAGCCTCGTACGACAAACCGCGCGATCATGCCGCTCGCGCCAATTGCAGTGACACAGATCTGCGCGCAACGGGGCAAGAATACATGATAAACTACACTCGCCTCATCGCACAACCAAGCTATGCCTTCCTAAACACTTTCTTCAGCATGCACCTCGCTCCTCGGCTTTCACGCCAGCTTCATAAAACCCTGCTGGTTATGAACAGGAAATGCTGCCCTTGCCATCCGGGGCCCTCGCCCCACCCCCCCGCCCCCCTGTCGATCCCGAAAAACACACATACACACTCTTATATTGTTCACAGATTGTGAATTAGCCAAGATTCGCAAGACGCCTCTTACAGATGCACACGGTCACCAATCTTTTTACCGACCCGACCCTCGGGCCTTTATCGATCCCGCAAGCCTACTAAACCAAGGCTACTCAATCCCCCTCTCGTCTTCCTCCAATCTCCGTAACCTATCAGATACGATGAAGAGATGCACGACCACAACCACGACGACTCTGGCTCCGCTCTCACTCACCACCACAACAACACTCCTCTTCCTCCTTACTCCTCGTGCCCTAAAGTCGTTATCCTCGAGACAGATGATGACACAACTCTCCTCAGCAGCGCAGATGCCAAAACCACCAACACCACCTTCTCCTTCCCCACCACCACCTCCTCCTCCTTCCTCCTCTTCCTCCTCCTCGTCCTCTTCCTCTTCCTCTTCCTCGTCCCTCCGAGTGCCCGCGCTGAGACGACGGTGCGAGCGATGTCCTTCCTTTCACGTTGCTCCCTCGCTCGCTTTGCTCTTCCGCTCGCTGCTTCCCTCTCGCTCGCGGTCGCTCACTCGCTCACTCGCTCACTGACCCACTCACTCACTCACTCACTTGCACTCTCGTTCGGATGCGCCTGTCGCTCTCTCGTGCCCTGCCTGCCTGCGTGCGTCCCCTGCCTGCCTGCCTGTCTGCTTACTAGCTTGCTCGCTTACTTGCTTCCAAGCAACCCGATGCGATGCGATGCGAGCGGAGCGCAATGAGACGGACGCACAGCAAAAAGCAGCAGCAGCAAGCAGCAGCAGCACTTGCCCTGAAAAACAAATTAAGAATTTAAACCACAAAATACTCTTCTTCTTCTTCTCCTCTCGCTCTCTCTCTCGCTCGCTCCTTCCCTCCCGTTCGTTCGTCCTGGCCTGTTCCTTCACCACTTCTTCCTCTGACTCGCCACTACGCTCTCCCTCTCTTCCTCTCCCTCGCTCTCTCTCCCTCTCCCTTCCTCTCGGAAGACACCACCACCACCACCTCGACCACCAAACTCTCTCTACACTACTCCCTTTTCCCCCCTTCACCCTCCCCCCTTCCCCGATTTTCCTTTCCTTGCCTCGCCTTGGCCTTGGCCTTGGCCTGGCCTGGCCTTGCCTTGCCTTCCCTCCTGGCCTTGCCTTTCCCCTGAGGCGATGCAGGCTGCCTGCTCCCTTCCCCCTCCTCCTCCCCTCCTCCCCTCCTCCTCCCTGGCCTCCGGAGTCAGCTTCTTCTTCCTCCGGCCCCCCGCGCAACAAAACCCAGCTTCGTCTTCAGAATCAGCTCATCTGCCTCCCCCCCTTCCCTCCTTCCCTTCCCTCCCTCCCTCCGGCTCGCTCACTCGCTCCCCGCCCGCCCGCCCGCCCTCGCTGGCTCTCCCGTTCCGACGCGAGCGAGCGTCTCGCAACGCCTTCGTGCCCGCGCCGGACATGCCACCGCGGCCCGGTCCGATCGAAGCGAGCCGCGCACCCGACCGGGCCCGACCCGGCGGCACTGAACGGACCCGGCCTGACCAGAACTGACCAGGCCAGACCATTCCGGGCCCTGCCCGCTTCGACGATGCGGGGCGGGCGAGCGAGCTTCTCGCGGCACAACGCTGGCCCTGCCCGCCCGCGCTGCCCGCTAACCATCGCCACCCTCCTCCCTCGCTTGGCGGAGCGGGCCAACGCGGGCGGGGCCTCAGATTCAATCTCGGCCGTCCGGTGCGGCATCCGACGCCGCTCCTCCTTGCGCCGGCGATAGCGACATATCAGGCTCGCTCTGCCACTCTTGTCAGCCCCGTTGGTTTTTGCCCTCCGCTCTCTGTCGCACCACCTAGAGCCGGCGGTCGCGGTCTCCAACCACCGGTCGCTCTCCTGCTGTGCGACCGCCAGATACGCCCTCCTTTCCCGGCAGAACAGTGATGCTCCCCGGGGCAAGCTTCCTGTCCGAGGGTCAATCGTGGGTCAGAAACTCGGACCGTGGGCTCTCCGGGTTAGGGCTGGAAGCAGGCCCGGGGTTGCAAGTGGATCTGCGACGCATGATCGTTCGCGACTCTTGTGCGAAATTGGCCATTCTCGGCAGCGCTCCTGGCTGCCGAGGGTAACCTCTAACTCCGTCGACTTTTATTCCGCCTGTCCACGTGGGTGACTACGACGCGGCCGGCTACCGTCGATCATTCTCGGTCCGCTCCCCTCCCCTCCCGCGACCTCGGCGCCTCCCCTTTGAATTCTTCAACCCCCGAACCATTCCTCCGCGGAGCTGGCGAGAGAGGGAAGACCGACGACGTTGGTGCTTCTGCACTGGCACCGCTCCCCCTCGCGAGCTCTTCATCGGCTCGCGGAGGAGCGCCTCGCCCTATACATCGTCGGAGCCGTCTGACTTCGTAGAGCCGCCCAACCGCGACAACGTCAATTGCCCATCTCCCGTTCTTTCGGCCGGGACGCGAACGCCATCGACCCATCGACCCATCGCCGGTCCTCGTCGCCATGGTCGCCTCGACGCGAAAGTGCAGCCTTTTGAGACATTCGAGTGTCTCATTGGTCCAGAAAGTTCGCCGCTGCACTGATTTCGTTGCCCGCTGAGGCCCCGCGGGAGCATCTGCCATGCCAATGTGAACTTTTCTCTTTCGCTCTCCGACATTGAGATGTGTGACCGGACGACGAAGATGTCTCACTTTGAATGGTCCTCTCCGGTCCAGAAACTTCGCTCCCTGGACTTGCTTCGTAACGAATCCGTCCGGTATCTCTTCTTTCACTAACAGGCTCGAAACCCCTTGAGATTCCACGTCGATCATCTCCATAATGGTCGACCCTAATGCGATTATCCCACTAGCAATCTCTGGCAACTTGCATCCCAATAGCAGCCCTCTCATCTTTCATCCACTTCCGAGCCCCATTACTTCGTGATTTCGCTCCATGATCTAACAGATTAATATATCCGAAGAACCCACTGCCAGCTTTCATGCCTGAGTATTCATGTCCAAAGTTCGACTCCTCTGGATGTACAAGATGTACTTCATTCGAGTCCTTTGGAATAGATCGAGGTACTTTTATTTATTTAGTTATCTATATTATTTAGCTTTTAAATTAATTTTGCATGCATTCATACATAAGTTCTAGATAAATGAATTGAAATTAATATCTTGTACACTGGCAGATTAAATCAGTAACGTGAAGAAAATTTGGTGGAATTTGGGAATGTAAATTGTGATGTATGGTCATTCAAACAAATGAGATTAAAAACTAAACCAAGTCCTTAGAAATTTGGATGGTCGTCCAGTTTACATCTACATTCTTGACGTCGTGGCCCACTCAAGGAATATCATAACCAAACAGATGAGATTCACAAGTAAAACGGAAAGAACAAGTAAGAAACCTCCTAATCTACAGATCAGTTATAAGCATCACATGCGACATGTATAACAATACTACATGGTACTCATTTAATATTGATATATACAGAATCGTAATCACCCCAGTCCATTGATTCGACAGAAATCATCCCGATTGGGTTGGGCCATGCAAATTTCGTGTGACGTTATTTATATGCAAGTACTATATATGGATTGAATAGGTTTCCTGACCACATGTTTCGATAAACTACGGTAGAAGATCGTAAGCATACAAGAAATTCTAACTCTTTGGATTGACATGAGACGTTTCTAGTGTCTAAAATCAAATGGTCCAACAGTGAGAGCTGCTGGGTGAAGTTCCTCGCAACATCTGATTGGACAGAATTAGAGTTGACTGAAAACCGTCTAGAGATTCCAAACAACTAGGATAAAGTAAAAAATATGTAGATCAGCTATTCGATATTAAATTGCAAAAAGACGCACAGGCTCGTTGAATAAATTAAGACGGTCTCATACTTGGTATAGGCACAGCAGGTGACGTTTTTACTTCGAAATTAAAGTAAACAGATCTACACAGTATATGGACAGTTTCTTCGTGTATTCTAACAAGTTCACTATAAGGTTGAACAGTCTGGTTCGAGAGTATCTTCAGGTGTCCAATCAGATCGTTTATCGACGTGAAAACAAATTCTACTGTTACACTATATGTAGTATAAACGGATGGACGAAGAGTACTCGAAATTAGCTTTAAGCGAAGCAAAACACAATGACCAGGAATATCCAATTGAACCCATAACCACATTCAAGGGATATAAACATGATTCTGCTACAATTTATGTTAAATTTTAGAATAATTCTTATAAGCAGGTAGGAAGAATTGTATTGAGACTAAAGACCTCATTGTGAGCAAAATTCCACTCTGGTCAAACTTCTTTGCATAGTTGAAGCTGTAGGAAATATCCCAGTTTGTTTCAGATGTTTCATACCATCCACCAAATTAGACGGTTGATCACTCTCCCTTACCTTCCCAACGAAAGAAAATCCCAAAACCTCAAACAACTAAACCTTTTTTTTTAACCAATTCCATGTCTCACAAATGAGCAAAATGCACCAAGTGCACACAATTCTCTTTACTTACAAGTGAATACAATCTTCTAATAGTTTACGGAAGAAAGAGACATTCATTCTTTCAAGATCAACTGCGCATAGAGAACATCGAGGTTGAAAAACAAAAACCATAAATTCTTGACAAAATATAAAATGCGCTTGCTCTCTCCCTTCTACACATTATTTATTCAAATTTGTTCTCTCTCAAAGAGCAAGCATCAAGTTTTGTAATCTAAAGTACACATAATTTCTAACAAATCCACTTATACAAACTACAAAAAACCTGCACATAACATATTATTCTTAATTCCAAACAAGACTCTCAAATTTATTCTTGAACTTAGCTTTTGTACACTCTTATATACACAAAGTTTGCAAATATCTCACGGATACAATTCTATTCTTTTATGAAATCTTCTAACTAACTCTCATGTATATTAATTACCAACTATATGGCGTAAATTATTCTACACTCTTTCTTAATTCTTAAATCTAAAGTCATGATAAGTTCTTTGTCAAGCCATATGAAAAAAGGTGATATGTTTGTCAACATGCATGGATCTTGACATATTTCTTACTCTTATATTTTATGTTCTATACACCTAATAATTATTACCAAATAAATTTACCTATATGTAATATCAACCACAAAATCAAACTTACAACAACAATGTTAACCATCATAACAAACCATATGAAAGATATTATGAAAACTTCTTCTAAGAGATGAACAAAACACATAAAACTTATGATTGTATGCCCATTTATTTACAAAAAATATATTTACCACATGATTTCAAGAGATGAACCATAAAACTTCAATTTCTAAACTACAAAAAAAGTTAAATTAATGGAACTTCCAAGTCATCACTTCTCTTAATGATAAACACATGACACATGTTTTACCTAAAGCACATGTGATGCTAAAACAAAGTTATGGAGAATTTTATTGAATTCTAACAAAATTTCCATAAACACTTATGAATATGTGAAAATCAATCATTCTTAAGTTATTTGCAATATTTATTTTCATTTAGATTTAAGTATTAACCAAAATATTTTCAACATAAAAAACCATATTTGATTTTTTAATAGCTATCAATATGATACTAAAAAATTTAAATTATTACAATAATAATTTGAATCCGGTTTTTAATTCCATAAATTTTCGTCATATGAAAATTTTAATTATAGTAAATACGTTTTTTCTTCTTGAAGATAATTATGAAAAAATATATGTACAAATTTTTTTCCTATTGTAATAAGGGTTTATGTCACTTTGGAATAAAGGTGATGAACAACATAAGAAACAATCAAAATAACTATGAATGACACACAATTTTGGAAGAGCTAAATATTTATCAATTTTTCAAATAATTTTCTAAATTCACTTGAATGTTGTAAAATATTTCAATATGAATATTTTGACCAGCAGAATATTTATTTCATAAATTTTCAAATAAATATATATTTCACATTAAAATTTTAAAATTAAGGAAGTCATAGACACAAAGTTAAATTTGAATGTGTTGAATAAAATATGTTTGTTAAGTAGAATAAAAAGTTTATCAAGTTCAACTGAACAAATTTGAGATCAAAACAATATATGTGGCATACTTATAACATCATTCATTGTTTATGAATGATTTTATAACTTGAATGACTTGAAAGAAGATGAGATTCTATGCAAAGATTGCAAATTTTGACAACAATAAGCAAATGTAAATCATACATAGTTGTAAAAATGATTTAACCAGTAATATAGTTTATAAAAAGATGAAATGGGTGTTTCAACATTATATTTTATAAGAAACATTTCTATTACAATTTTCCAATATGAGTAAACATTCATTTGTTGAATCACTTATTCAAATTTTACTTGTATCCTTTTCAAGCAAAAAAATAATAAAATATCACAAAATTAAAATTGTGAAAATGTTAATAAATTTTAAACAAATTATATATATATATATATGAATCTGTTGCAAAAATAACTATTAGTACTTAATCAATTATTTTGATCAATAAAAATCAGGTTATAAAACTTAACATCTATGAATTATAATGTGACTTGGGAGTCTGAGCTAGGTAAAAAGTGAATGAAAGAAGAATTATGTTGTAATTATTTGATGTTGAACAATTTTTAACACTTGATAACATAGAAATTTTGTTGTAATGATTATACATTTTCTTTGCCTTTATGCGGAACAAAAAATGATCAATCTTAATGCACAGGCGAGAATAATGAATTGATTTTATTGAATGTTAGAGAGTATAAATAAATAAATAAATAAATAAATAAATATATATATATATTTATTTATTTATTTATATGGGTTGCACATACGTATTGATTCATGAGAATGAATCAATGTTTACACTAGTATGTATCATTTGAATCTTTGTTACTTTAATATTTTTATAACGGTACAATCATGCTTTGGATAATGAAATATATTTTAAGTGCATGAACAATTATATAATTTGACACATTCCGGTTTGGTTTTACCAGATTCAGTTAATTTCTCAAACCAATATACTATATATTACAATGATGTCTACATTGCAATATTCGTTATAGATTTTTTCTACTAAAAAATGGTCAAGGCTGCTGCATAAATACTCAAAGTAAGTAGAACGTAGGCGATTGTTCTTGGATTACAATCTTATTCGTAGAAGTTTCCAATGCCAAGAAATAATGAAAATCAAATAGCGCATAAGAAAGTTTCATATGACATGACTATTATAATTCACCAAATCATAATTTATCAAACACTACAGAAATTTACTCCAAACTTATTTGTAGCTCAAATGATAAAGGTATGGGTTTGAACAACAATCAGAAAGAAAAATTGGTTCAAGGTAGACGTAGAGGCTACTTGCAAGTAAATACAGGCAGTCTATGAACACGAAATACAAAAAGACCACATGAAGATAGGGATGAAATTTCAAATGATTAAAATATTTCTAGAACTAGTTTCAATTTCTCTTCTAGCATAGACGGTAACTATATAAGAAAACGTAGATTTATATATATTCATTTAGTTGAAGATATCATACGTTGAAAAAAAACAGGTCTTTTGACAAATTTATTTTTATCGTACATCGAGTTATACGCAATGGCATTTTTACAAGTATTTAATCTCATTGTGATTAAAATTGTATACTTTTCATGGTTACACGCGTGTAGAGAGCGATAGGAAAATTTTGTTTGGATGGCGAATTTTTTTTTATGTGAAATGTCGGGTATTCTAATAAGAGAGGGACACTCAACAAAATCCGCAGGACCTGAATAAATATGTTTTCAAGTCAACAAACGATTGTTTCGTGATTCAGACTAATTCTATCCATGAAGCTGTGGCACTTCCACAAATGCACATAACAGTTTTATACAATATAAATTATCAGGTCATGTAACCAATATCTTATAAAAGTTAGTACCCGTTCATCAACGCAATCCATGAGCGCAACGCAATCCATCAACGCAATCCATGGTAGAACACTAGGGAACAGAGAAAATCTTGTAACAAGTTTGTGTTCGATGATGCGATTGACGTAGCTCTAGTCCAGATACAATTTTAAGTAGGTTAAAAATTTCATTTCTCTTCTGCAAACCTGATTGAGCTATAACTCACCTACCTGCGGTGAACCAAGTCATATAAGAGTAAAACCGTAAAAGTTTTTACGGTTTATTATCACTAAATGAAGTATTACTTTACTTCGCATAACTACTAGAGTGTCAGATATAAGATATGAACGTATAAGATGCCTCATTAACTGAAATTTACTAGTTGGGATTTGTCACTCATCTCCTGAGCTGAAAAGATAGACCAGATGCTGGAAGATAGACCGAGGGGCAGATAACAAATCACGACATCCATCAACAATCGTACAATTTGACATCGTCAACTCATGTTCGTTATCTCTTCCTGACGTGATTATTAGTGCCACCACCCCATAATTTAAGCAAGTTATAGAAGGCCGCAATGCAAGACCGAGCGTCCTGCTGCGCCGTCACGAAAACATGCGCCGACCCAGGGCACGGACGGAGGATGGAAGGACGTGCACGGAGCAGAGTTAGGAAGTCTGGAAAACATCCGTTGACAAGTCTCCCGCTCCTCAGGCGCGGTCGAGGTTCTCTTTCCTTTCAACTTCCCTTACAACTTCCCTTCGAGCGCCCTCGAACGAGAATTTGCATAAAGGCACTTTGAAATCAGGCAAAGATGGAGAATGTGGAGCATTTGTTCACGAGCATCATCGTCGAATGACAAGAGGATCGAGAAATGCACATCGCATTCCATCAGGTTCGGTCTACTCGAGTCAAAAAGCGTGAGAACGAGCGCACGGACTGCACCATTTATTCTTTGGGCTCTCTTTTTTCTCTTTCTTTCGACCAATCTTGAGATGCTGATTTTTTAGACCTTTATTATTTGAGACCAAATGCTCAAGCAGGCGCTGATGCGCGAACTAATTGCGTACAACTGGACCTCGTCGACCGCCTGCTGGCTGCGCGCGTTATTGACTACGTCCAATGCACTCACTTTCCTTCCTCGCAGCAAGAGGGGAAGGGGAGGAGGAGGAATGGAGGGGAAGGGAAGGGAAGGATTGAGATGAGATGAGATGAGGTGCGATTGGGATACAGGAGAGGAGGAGGAAAAAGAAAAGAAAATGGGGGACGAAGAGGAGGGCAAGAAGAGGAGAATCTGCAGAAAAGAGGGGGAAGGAGGTTTGCGGGGAGATCGGTGAGCGAATTAGAGGGAGGGAGAGGACAAAATATGTACAGGTGGGTCGTTTGGTGGATATGTCAAGCGCATTCTCATTGAGGTCATGGACGATGATGGGAAACAACAGGTGGAAGCGGATTATTCTATTTCGAAGAAAGGCCCAAAAGGTACATACACATGATAGACGCATCAGGATAGGCCATGGACGGAAAGGCAAACGTCTGAGTGAGTGACTCACAGACGACGAGCGTCTATTGCAGGGCAGGCCCAGTGGGGCGCTGCAGGGCAGCAAGGGCAGGGAGTGAGGGAGTGAGTGCAGCAGGATGCACCAGCAGCTGCTGCTGCTGCTGCAGCGGCAGGAAGCAGGGAGGGAGAAGGAAAGGAGAAAAAGAGAAGATGAAGATGAAGCCAAGTCATGGGCATTTCAAGGGGATTGGATATTTAGAATATCCACTGACTGGTCTTTGTTGTTCTTGACTTGGGAGGGTCTGGTACACTGTCGGTTTTGGAGCTTCTTCCGCTTGTGCACATTTGCTGTGTGGTGTGGTGAGCTTCTTGCGTGTACACACTCACACAGACAGACAGTCAGTCAGGCAGTCATCCACACTCTTCAGCTGCCGCTGCTGCTCATCTCCTCACATTTCATCTCATTTTCTGAATTTGTCTCAAAGCTGTCACTGCTGCCCTTCTGCAGCAGCCCTCGCCTGTTGGAGGGAGGCGTGGAGTGGAGGCTATATTTGTAGTTTTGTGAAAACCAGTGCGTCGGGGAAGTCATCCTTCTGAAAGCTGTCTCTGTCTCTGTCTCCTCTTGGCAGGGAAGAAGTGGCAGCTGGAGCTGAATTTAGCTTTCTGGACACCAGGGTGTTTGTAAAAGACAGGCTCCATACTGTTAGCTGGTCCTATCTTTTTGCCATACATCTCTGTAAAGGAAACGTAGCTGCCGAAGAGAAAGAAATTTTGGAGTTCGTATCATTGAAGGGATAAGGATATCGGAGTCCGTCATTTAATCACAGAGACAGGAAGTTCAGCTAGAAGCTATGGAGGCTGGACTTTTGATGTCCTCGTGCCATGAGAGGACATATCAATTGGTGACCTCTAGCTCGCAGCTGGGTCGACATTCGCGAGCAACCTCTGAAGCGAGCTGTTCGTCTTCTTGCGTTCAGCTCTCCTGTAGCTCTCAAATCAGTGGAAGGAGTAGCTCTTCAAGGCTAGCGGGGCAGAGGGTGGGCAAGCAGGGAAGATATGCACCTTCAGCGTTGAATGTGAGATGTAAGGAATACCAATTTAACCAATTTAAGCTGCCCAATCAGTCGAAACCCTCTGATGCGATGAAGAAGCCTGCAACTGGTGGTGCTGGAGGTCGTGTGAACAGATTGCCGGGGAACAATTCGTCACCCCAAGGGACATGGGATAATCGCAAGCAGCAAGTATCCCCGCCTGGATTGGGGCAATTTCGACCTCCGCCCAGTACCTATGTACCTGATGCAGAAGAAAGCGAAGAGGATAGAATTTCCTACCAGACTAGAAAAGCGGCTTTGTTTGAGATGTTGAGTAGTGGTATGGGATCCTGGCAGGAAAGAGCCGTGTATGTAAAAGAGGTGCAGCAGCTAGGGGTCACGTCAGAAGAACTTTACGAATTTTCTTTCGTGGGAGTCGTGAAACAGACGGCTATGGTGGTGGCTCTTCAAGTGAGTCTAGTTTTTATACTTAAACGCAATGCTCAATCGTAACGACGGTACTTTCTTCTTACATTCGGTCTGTGTCTAGTTTATATGTTGGACTCACTCTTAATTTCGCTTCTAATTGGCGCACAGGTGTACGACTCGGTAGTTCAATCTGGAGCTTCCGCCGAGACCTTGGAATGGTATGATGAAGAAAGAGTAGAGACATTGTACGCACTTAGAACATTGTCTGCAGGTCAACGAAAGGTCAGTGTTCTCATTCCTTTTGTGTAGCGACCAGTTTCTGTTTGAAGGATTCATGGCGAATTTTTGAAATGTCTTTGTTGATTTCAGCAAGCATTGAAGCGTATATGGCGTTTTGGAACTAGCAGTTCTATTAACATGGCTCAATCTCAAGTGGTTATTATATTGATGTTTGTCTTTAGACGGCTGCTGAATTTGTTGCAAAAAATTCTTTGAACGTGGAGGAAGCACAAGAACTTGCCAAGGCAATCAAAGACCACGAAAGAAGACCTCAGGGTCGAGAGGTACGACATAATGACACCAGTTAGAACCGCTGCTCTTACATCGACCCGCTAGTGGCTCCATTTCTGTTTTAATTTTTCGTTTGTGATCATTCTAAGGTGAGGTCATTTACTAAGCACGTGGATCAGCCATGGCGAGCTATTGGCTTGATTCACCATCGTCTTCCATGTTCCCACATTCTTCAAGCTTGTCACAGGGCTTCCAGCTTCAGATTTCAGCGTAAAGTCTAGAATGTAAGAAACAAATGTTGCAGCTCGGATCCTGAACCAGTTTGGCTAAGAACTTCTTCTTATTACTACATGCATACAATTTGTTGTTTCTTTCTTGGCCCTAAATGAACATAGTCTATAGCAAACTACGGGGATCAAAGACTACGCGTACCTAACATCAATCAGGGAATCCATAATGGCACCACGTTTTGTTTTTAATTTTTCATTTCATATTGAAGAGAGCTTTTCTCATTTTTACCAACTCTCTCGCGGCTTAGGTCTCAAGTCCCGGTTCATGTAATTTTTTTCAGATTTTTTGGTAACTCATACATACTTCATGTTGCAAAGTTCGTCATCTCGTCAGCTTCTGGCTTTCTGTTCTACTTCAACTCAATCTGCTGAGTTGCCCGATTCTTCCAACATTTCGATTTGTCACTAGGCTTTCGTGATTTAGTGAGTGGGATGCATGTCAAAAGATAGTTTTTGAACTCCAATGAGAACTAGCTTTGGCGTTTCAGTTCAAATCGGTAGTATGCTTTTTAGCCTGTCATCCGCCACCTCTCTTAGCCCTTAGCGAACAATAGTTTTGCTACGTTAGTCAAGATCAGTCTGAGTTTTCTGTAATTGATCTATATCATATTCTCTCGTAATAATGCTGGCTGAAGCTAGAAAGGTAATGAGTAATGCTGGAAATAGCAAGGAGTGATACTGTTTGTTCATCGTAGATTTTCCTTTCACCTAACTATCCTCCGCACCACATTTTTTCTGGCACAAATCACGGGGCATATATATATATATATATATATATATATATATATATGATGGTTATCTGGGAAATAGACGTGAAGTTAATCGGATTAAGTGATTTGTTTTGATCTTTGGCTATTATCTCTTAACATGCCACTTCTAACTTCAGCAAGCTAACACAAGCGTCGGTTCCCATACACGAGTTCGTCTTTGCTCTGATCAGAGTGAGGTAAGAATGTGGTCCTGGGTTTGTTTAAGTGGTGAAGGGACCCACTTTACTTCCAAGAATATTTGGAAGTTAATCTTCTGACTTGCAGCAAGTTGTAAGATATTGTTGGCAGACCGCCATCCTCGTCATCAAAGTGAATTCGTTTTTTCTAACCAAGCCCCTGAGGTAAACTGTGAATGGTTGTTAACTCCATAAGAAATAATATATCTAAGTGCGGTTCCAGAAGAACTCTATAAATCATATATGCTCTGTATAGATGTGTGTACATTTTGTTTAACACGTTCATGGCCAAAGGAGTCCTATCAGTGGTTCAGTTTACAGCATGCCATGGAAGCCTTCATGTATGCTATGAAAGGCTTTGCTGCCTCTTCGGCTCATCTGCATGAATCCGTTACCTTGTTAGCCTTGCTCTAAGCAGGGATTGACTCTTTAATTTTTCCACTCGCAGCGCTCTACGGAAGTTGTCGTTTTCATCAACTAACAAGTTTTGGCTCGTTCTGGCCTGGAAAAGCTGGGTAGCATTAGATGAAGGTAGAAGATCCCGAGGTTGTTGCTTTGACCTCTTTAATATATTATGGAGCAAGACTTTAATTAAACATCTATGAGGATGTCACGTACTTGTGCTCTCTATCATCTGTGAACAGGAGTACTGTGAATCTTCTCACATTTTTCTGACTGAAAATAAACTTAGGACCACCCGCACGTTGGAGACCGATTTTGGAGAGTGACGCATTTATGTTTGGATTCCAAAGTTACGTCTGGTCCTCGACATCCTTCTTATGCTCTATATCGTAAACTTAGAGGATGCGAATCTACTCGAAGCATGTGTGAGTTTCCCTAAATGAAGCCTGCTAGTACTTACACCCATGTTATATCATTAAATTAAGCACCACGAAATACGTGATGACGCCCGATCAGTTGATTGTTTGAATCTGGACAGCCATGTTCTAGAGGTTTACACAGAACTAGTGTTTATATCAATCCACCTTCGTACAGCTGAAGTAGCTTCTGTAGTTCTAAACACTAGTTGCCTGAAACGTCGAGGATCAGCTTTGCACGGATATGAATTGTTGTAAAACTGAGATCAAGAATCTGCGTGGACTTGTACCAATGACTCTGATGTATTGAGTTTCAGGAGGTATGAGAGGTATCCTTTATCTTAAATGGGCTACGGTGTTAAATGCAAGAAAGTTCTTCTTGTCTCAACTGATCTCATATATCTCGGCATAGTACAATATCCTAATCCTTATATGAAGATAGCTCGGTAGAAGGAAGAAGACGTGTTCCTTCCTATTCTGGCTTGCCTAGTCTAAATGTTAGGTTCCGTTGAGAAGATGAGGAAAGGCATGTGATTGGTTCCTTCTTTCCCTGTACGATTCTTGGACTAAATGAAATGAGTCTAAACTTGGACTGAACAAATGACAGCCACTGTAGTGTAAATGTTGGGGCAGGTCTGAACTTCCTCACCTTCGATTTCTTCGATTTTTTGAGATCATGCTTTCTCATCGCCTTGCTTAGTTTAATTAAGAGCCAGTCCAGCTCTGGAAGGAGTAGCTGAGTATTGTGATAACTAGAGGTTATTATATGCAGGCAGCTCTGGAGCCTTCACACACAGATTTCGGCTTTCTTCCATGACTCTATTTTTAGCTGACATAGTATTAACGTTTAATAAACCAAGAAAAAGTGCACCACAATTTCAGTGTTTATTTCTTATATTGCAACCAAGGAGGTTTTTTGCTCTATCCCATCAAAATTATGGGAGAAACTTAGCTACCTGACTGTTTTTAGGCCTTCCGTTTAGCAGGAAACCACTCAAGTCTGCAAAGAAAGCCGTCTTAGTGATTTGTGTGTTGCATCCTTGCTTGACTGAATGTCCTCAACTCGATGCACGCATCTCTATTCTCAGTCTCCTTACTATGGTCGGTTTCTTCTACCTATATTGGGTCCTGTTGTTCTTACTTCCTGTACTACATAAGTTGCTCTCAATAGTTGTCTGTTAAAGCTTTGAAAAACATAAGTTCTTGGGATTCAGGCTACTGAATTGGGTGTTGAGGCTTTGGACTGAGCGGTGCTCACAGTGTACATAGGGAGATCTTAACGATGGCCATATGGAGTGTTATACATTCGTTTCGCGCTTGACCTCTCCGATTGACTTGCATGGTAGTCGTGGTTGGGAAACTTCGTCCACTGTATCTGTAGACGAGAACAAGCGTGTCGACAGTGACTAACAGTACGGAGCTTCTACGCATCAGTACTTCAAACGCTCTTCTGACATAAGAGATTCTTACAACTTTCAGGGATTTACAACGGCGGCAGGAGATTGCCTAGCGTACATGTGCTATCGAGGAGCAGTGGAGAGCAAAGATGCAGAAGCAAGAAGTGCGTTTGTGGAAAGGGGCCTGCGAGTGGCCGAAACGGATTCTGCCAGGCAACGATTTGAAGTTGTATAACGGAGGTTTATATAATTTATTAATCAATAAAGTGGAAAACATGAGGAACGCTTCAGGGAAGTGTATCGTTATTTGATTTGACCTATCATCACGCTTGTCATTCCTCCTCTGCATTAACCTAGAAGTGTCTCAGTCCATTATCTTAATCGGGCTTTAGTAGATGGTGTCCGTATATTCCGAGATGTTTACAAAGAGTACACTCGAGTAGAATGGTCAAAGATAAACCTTGAGTGAAGCCTTCTGCATCTTTCAACCTTCTTTCCTTTCCTTGATTCTTTTGTTTGGTTCTTACCAGACCATGAGGATTTTATGATATGTGGCGGTTTTCACTTACAAGTCTTGTATGCGAACACTCATCTGAGACTCGAAATTGACCAATCATGTGGTAGAGATTCCTTTAAACTTTGGCAAGTCTCATTCTTATAATCTGAAGTAGAAAGAGATAGTACACGTTGCCACTCTTAGAAAGAAGAACGACTCATACTTCAAGTATGTGCAGACATAAACATAGTTGTTGGTCGATTAGTTTGGGAGATGGAAATGGAGTGTCAGATTTTAATATGGCGATACGTTAAAGGCTGTGGCGCTCAGGAGTCAGAACTGAAAAACATGAATTGAACTAGATGAAGTGAGAGAAAAGGACAGTGAAATACGAAAATAGTTACTGGGGTGACCACTAGAAGCAAAGAGTACAATTGACGTCGAGAAATGGAGAGGAAAATAGTCGATCTATTTAACTCTCTTCACTACACACCTCGAGAATCACCGATAACCAGCAACTTTTGATGCTTACTTACTGTGGTTTGAACCAGTTAACTGTGGAGAAATGTTGCTCAAGTTTCGTTGTTCTCCTAGCTTACATAATGCTTGGCTTCATGTATATCTCTCAAATCAGAAAGTAGTGTGGTGGATATAACGAATCTTAACCGTTTTTCTTATCTAGTTTTGGAGTCATGGAATTTTCACGAGGCTACCACACTATTTGGAATGGTTACGTTATTGTATGAGTTTTTTTTAAAAAGCATTATTCCATTATAGAGAAGTCATTTATGGAATCCATCACGTGAAGTGATGCTTCGTCGAGGCCTCTTTTAGTTTGTAGACCATTTCTATTTTGAAACCCTAAGCCCAGTGGTACCGTCTCGTTTTCTCCTTATAGGACTTTAATGTTTCTTCCGATAATTTTGTTGTGTACTCTGACTGACAAATAAAAATGGGAGCAATGCAATAGAGAGAACATATTGAAGCTTAGCGCATAAGTAACTTTTCGCAGTGTTTATGAAGGGGTTAAGTGTATTAAACGTATGTGCAATCTATTATAACATACAACTACATTTTGAGTAATTCTGGAGTTAGAGACCTTTTGAAGATGTCAGTCAAAGAAATATGTCAAATTTGTTTGCAAGTTATAATGAACTACCAATCAATGTCGTTCAGGAAGAGAAGATTTAAATTAATCGATAAGATGATTGGTTAGTTAACTTTGCTCAAGACTTAGAAAATCAACTATGATTTCCAACTTCCAATTATGATCAAAATATGGTAAATCACTCATGTCAATTTATCACGTTGAAGTACCCTATTGAATGATTCATTCAAGAATAGAGAAAATGAAAAAATACATGTTCACCTGCTCGAGTAGGTCATGTGCATGTACATACTTATTATGCGGTGTTCAAAAAATATACAAAATTATATGAAAAAATTATACAAAATTATTTTAAAAAGTTGATGAATTTTATTTGCTGTTCAATTTTTAAAATTAACCTCAAGAAAAAACACGAATTTTCATCCATGATAAGAATGGTCTTCATACAGTAAAAAGCAACATTTTGCTAGTAATCAAATAACACTATTTAAAATATTTATCGCCTTTATATATCACACATGTTCATTTTGCAGACAAAAAATCAGTATTACAATCATTTACATTTAATCATATCCCTATGCACTATAAATTATGCTTGCACTAGTCATAGGAGATCGTAGTTAGATTCTCCGAATGCCAACTTGGATTAGTTGTCAAAGCTCATGACGGGATCGTGTCCTATGAGTGCAGAAGCTGCTGCTTATATCCTCGTAGCTTATGCTACTTGTTTAGTTTAAAGTCTCCTAATCTTCTTTGCAAGATTTGATCCCATTTCAATTTCATTTTTTATTCCTGAAATCATGACAAGATTTGAGGTTTGAATTGATACCACATATATATCAGCCACACAATCTCGATGATTTAACCGTTGGATTTTACCTCAAAGGCTTATTATGAAGTTCTCTTTCTGTTGACGTCATAACTAAAGTTCTCTCTCAGTTGAAGTCATGATCTAAAGTTACATTGAACTTTAGGTGTGGCTGCTTGGTGATAGGTGTTGTCAGCAGCATGAAGAGAATCTTCTTCAAGCCTTATTTTGTTATCTCAGACTTGAAGTTCAGCAATATACCCATCTTTCCTCGGTGGCTGGACTGAGATGAATCCTATCCAACTACTCTCTCGTCTGCCAAAAATTTCTTTCCATAAGTTGTTTTCACTAGTCTTTGATAAATTCGGCGATTTTGGAAGAGTAAGATAGGTATAGAGTAGGAATGGAGAAATTTGCTTGATGGGACCCCATCAGAACCCTGACTGCTTGATGGGACCCAATAAGTTCCATTTTACCCTATGGGACCCCTCCGACGGATCACCGTCAGTTATGTTCTTGTAACTGATTTGTTTCCACTTCAATGAAAAATAATAATTTCTTTCCGAATTTAAGTTAGTTAGATTTTCCATGGCTCCCAATTTTCATCGTGGAAGAGCCCAATTTCTCACGTCCCATAATGATTTTACAGTTATAATGTATAGGCATAATCTATTCACTCCTTACTTTTTTTTTTCTAAAACTTTTGGTAAAAATCATGTCAGTTGCGTATTTGGTCCGTGAAGTGCATTTCACTTTTCAACAAAGAGCCTCAGTGCTTTTCCTAACCCGGATTGAAAGGAATTACATGAACTCGCAGTAGAACATCGGTGACGGCGGACTGAATTGCCGTCGGAAGGGTCCCATCGGGTAAAATGGAACTTCAAGGGTCCCATCAAGCAGTCAATGTTCTGATGGGTCCCATCAAGCAAATTTCTCAATAGGAATGCTACTATCGTTAGTAATCCAATGGGCTACGAACGTTTTGGAGTCCTCCCTCCACTCGATCGTGAAAAAGATTGCGAAGTCTTAGCTTGGTTCCACCAAGGTCACTGTTGGGGACAAGTTAGCTTTTGGTGTTTTGGGTTTACTCCTTCAGAAGGCCATATTCAATTTCCTTCCTTAACTCTACTCTTTTCCTATTGCAGTCCTTCTTGAGACCATGACATTCTTGTGTTCTTCTTGAGATAAGAACATTCTTGTGCTGTCACGTTGGGTAAAAATGTGTCTCTTCCTCTTGTTTCTTATCTTTGTCTAAAACTCAGTTTGGTTATCTGTTTGATCTCGGAGGTCCTTCACAAATCCCCGCAGCCGTCCTAGTGCTTTACTATTACACTGATGAGGTATGTTATTGTGTGTGTGAATTTTACTTGGATTAGAAAGTAGTTAGGTTTAGGGGAAAATTTAATAAGCTATTGATCAAGTGGTCATTACTGGTCCATGTCCAAGTTGATTTAAGGATATAAAGCTTACATCGGAGGTTGATGAGTTAGAAATTTCTTCATAACTCATATCAAGTCGATGAGTTATAATTTTTATTATTAGTCATATCTATATTGTGATAGATTTATGTGTCTTATCTACGAGTAAGTAGGTTTAGGATATTTTTTTGTGAAATTTTTTATTTCATAGTATATAAAGTGCTATCGGATTAAGATAGTGATGGTTGACATACGATACATATAGTTGATTAGTGTTATGATATGTTCTTTTGTATTAAAGCTTCGGTCTTAAGAGTTAAGAAGTGTGAGAGCTACAATTTTTTTTAATGAAAGCTTTATCTTGTGATTCTCTTTTCCTTATGTTATTTGCCTCCATGCCAAAAAGACCAACATTTTGAATCTGTTGCAGTAACTTGAGTTGGTAACGTATTGATGGTTGTTACATGAGAGTATACTTTCAGTAGTCCAATTGAGAAATATCATACCTTTCAAACAGATAATGGAATAGGATGGAAATATTGAGGAATGAGCCATTTTGAGTATATGAATATGAACTATATTATTTTGAATTTTTTTTGAGAGTTGTATTAGTTTATTTGTGTGTTTGTCTAACGATAGCGGATGCATTTTGCCTCTACTTTGTGGAAGAATCAAGATCTTGTCGTAACTCATGAAACTCGATGACTTCAACTACTGGAATTATTATTTGATCGTCCGTGTGAGCAAGAACGAGTCTAATGATCAAGTCTCGCACTGTACTGATTCTCTAGTTTACATGTAGCACTAAAGTTTAGAGAGAAGCTCACTCGAAGATAGAAACGTAAACTCTGAAGGTGAGAGATAACAACAATGATTCTCCTCTCCCTTATATAGCTCTCACCAACAAGTACAAGGTGATAAGATTTAATCCCCACCATCCATCCCACTCACAGTGGATGGATGACGTGGCGGATAACCCTAACAAGCACACGGATCGCTGACGCGGCGCACCCAACTAACACACTAACTAACACACTCAATCCTTACCTACAAGCACACGGATTGCTGACGTGGCACTGTCAACTAACACATCCACTCTGTATCTACCAAGTGCGCGGGTTGCTGATGTGGTAACTATGACTAGTGCACACTAAAGTATCTACATCAATATTTAGGGTAACCTTTACTTTAATTCTAACTAACTAAAGATGGTTACATTAATCTGTCACAATTTTCTATCCTTGTTCTCGAGTGCATTTGTTGCAACCTACGGAAGCATAGCAATAACTGAGGAGAGGATGAAGGGCTCTACGTATTTGCAAAGTGTTGTGATTGAGGTAAGAGGATGATAGGTTTGACTCAAGTCTCGAGTTAAACTCGAATTGACCTAATTTGATTCAGCTCTCAAGTGGTACAAGGAATACAAGAGGGAACACGTGAAGAAGTAAAGCTAGAAAACATGGACGTAAATGTCAACTTCTTGAAGTAAC